TACAATTTGCACAAGCTCACCAAAATTGGACAGTTGAAGACTGGAAAAATGTTGCCTGGTCTGATGAGTCTCGATTTCTGTTGAGACATTCAAATGGTAGAGTCAGAATTTGGCATAAACAGAATGAGAACATGGATCCATCATGCCTTGTTACCACTGTGCAGGCTGGTGGTGGTGGTGTAATGGTGTGGGAGTGTTTTCTTGGCACACTTTAGGCCCCTTAGTGCCAATTGGGCATCGTTTAAAAGCCACGGCCTACCTGAGCATTGTTTCTGACCATGTCCATCCCTTTATGACCACCATGTACCCATCCTCTGATGACTACTTCCAGCAGGATAATGCACCATGTGACAAAGCTCGAATAATTTCAAATTGGTTTTTTGAACATGAGAATGAGTTCACTGTACTAAAATGGCCCCCACAGTCACCAGATCTCAACCCAATAGAGCATCTTTGGGATGTGGAGGAACGGGAGCTTCGTGCCCTGCATCCCACAAATCTCCATCAACTGCAAGATGCTATCCTATCCCAGCACCTTGTTGAATCAATGCCACGTAGAATTAAGGCAGTTCTGAAGGCGAAAGGGGGGCAAACACCGTATTAGTATGGTGTTCCTAATAATCCTTTAGGTGAGTGTGTGTGTGTATATATATATATATATATATATATATATATAACAAGTCTCATCAGTCCAAAGGAAATTCTCCCAGAATATTTGGCTTGTCAACATGTATTTTTGCGAATTCCACTTTGCTAATAGTGGAGCCCTCCTGGGTCTTCTTCCATGGAGCCCATTATTGTTCAAAATGTGACGGATGGTGCAATCAGAAAGTGATGTACCTTGACTTTTGAGCTTTGAATGCTGTCATGATCGGGCACCGGCGAACCGGCAAGCAGGGGAGAGGAGCCAGGAAGTCGGGTGAAACGGGGAATTTATTCCGTGGAAACAGGACTTGGGAAGCACGACAGCAAACATTAATGACAAGTCTGGGGAAGACTGACTCAGACGAGGACTAAATACACAAGATAAACTGAGGTTAACGAGCAACAGTTGAGAACAATCAGGCATAAACACGAGGTAACGAGGTGGGTGTGGCACACACAAGGATCGTACGGAGCTGGGCATGACATAACCCCCCCCAAAGGCGCGCACACTGGGCGCGCCCGAGAGGAGGCGACGGACGAGACGAGACTGGGGAACAGGACCAGGAAGACAAAAGCAAAAAACATCAACGAGACACCGGAAACAGGACAGAGACACAGAACAAGGACAAGGACAGGAACCAAGACAAAACCCGACAAAGAACAGGAAAGGCAGACAGAGAAGGGAGACACAGATGGAACACCCACAGGCGACACGAAGGGGCCAGGAGTGAACAGAGGAGGAACAGAAGGACGAGGAGCAGAGACAGGCGGAACGAAGGGAAAGAGAGGAGGAACTAGGGGAGCCCGAAGGAACCCAGACGGGCGACGGGCAGCGACCAGAGGGGCCGCAGGCGAGAGGGAGGAGGGAGCAGGAGGGGACCACACAGGATCCAAGGGAACGGGTCGAGGGAGTGACGGAGGAGACACGGAGGGAGCAGGAGGGAACACCGGCGCAGGCAGGCTGGAGGGGGAAGCCGCGGCGACGGCGTAGCCGGAGCCGGGGAAGGCGCCGTCCGATGCCAAGCCGAAGCAGGGGGGCCCGGAGGCGGCCGACACGGAGCCGGAGGCGGGACCGAGGACCGGCACCGAGGAACCAGGGGGGGACCCGGCGGAGACCGCCGACCCCGAGCCGGAGGACCCGCAGGCAGCCACCGAGCCACAGCCAGGGGCCGAACGGGCGAGCCAGGGGGCAGGGCGGGCGGGACCCGGGCCCGACGCCTGTGTCCCCGTCCCTTCCGGGATACTGAAAGGCGGGGTCCTGGGGGGTGTCGGCCTTGTCGGGGCAAGGGCGAGGGAGTCATGAGGGAGGCCCCTGAGGGTGGAGGCTCGGGCAAAACAGGGGGCGTGGCGGCTGGCAATGCAGCCGGAGCCGCTGGCGTGGCCGCAGGCGGTGCAGCCGGAGAGGCAGTCAGTACGGGCGAGCCGGGCTGGACGGGCAGGACGGGCGAGCCGGGCTGGACGGGCGAGCCGGGCTGGACGGGCTGGACGGGCGAGCTGGGCTGGACGGGCGAGCTGGGCTGGACGGGCGAGCTGGGCTGGACGGGCAGGATGGGCAGGACGGGAGAGGCGGCCTCAGGCAGCGTCGCGGGCAGAGCGGACGTGCGGCCAGCAGGGGGGCGCCTCGGCGGGCAGAGCGGACGTGCGGCCAGCAGGGGGGCGCCTCGGCGGGCACCTCGGGCGTGCAGCCAGCAGGGGGCGCCTCGGCGGGCACCGCCGTCACGTGGCCAGCAGGGGGTGCCTCGGCGGGCACCTCGAGCGTGCGGCCAGCAGGGGGCGCCACGGCGGGCACCTCCAGCGTGCGGCCAGCAGGGGATGCTTCGGCGGGCACCGCCGACACGTGACCAGCAGGGGGCGCCTAAGCTGCAGGGACCGCAGGCTGGACAGGCGGGACAGGCGGGTCAGGCTGGACAGGCGGTGCCGCGGGCAGTGCGGCGGCAGCAGCAGCAGGCGGTGTCGCGGGCAGTGCAGCGGCAGCAGCAGCAGGCGGTGCCGCGGGCAGTGCGGCGGCAGCAGCAGCAGGCAGTGCCGCGGGCAGGTCCAGAGCAGGCAAGTCTGGGACACGTTGCCCAGGATCCTGGCAACGCGCACATCCCATCTCTCCGAAATCCTCTTCGTCAGGCGCTGAAGGGATTTCCTTGCCCTCCTGAGAGGTAATCCTAACCTGGCGGGCGTTCCTTGCCGAGGAGGTCCGTGCCCCGGTTAGCCAACTCCAGGGCTACGGGGTCCTCCTCGACTTCTGGCTGGGAACGCCAGTACACAAACTCCTGCAGCAGCCCGAGCCAGTGGTGCTCGGACTGCCGCTTTGTGCTTTCCGGGAGACTTGTCATTCTGTCCCGATCGGGCACTGGCGAACCGGCAAGCAGGGGAGAGGAGCCAGGAAGTCGGGTGAAACGAGAAATTTATTCCGTGGAAACAGGACTGGGGAAGCACGACAGCAAACATTAATGACAAGTCTGGGGAAGACTGACTCAGACGAGGACTAAATACACAAGACAAACTGAGTTTAACGAGCAACAGTTGAGAACAATCAGGCATAAACACGAGGTAATGAGGTGGGCGTGGCACACACAAGGATCGTACGGAGCTGGGTGTGACAGATGGTTTCCTTGGCTATATTTCTACCATCCGCACTATCCTTCTGATCAACCTGGGGTTGCATTTCCTCTTGCGTCCACATCCTGGGAGGTTGGCTACAGTCCCATGAACCTTATACTTTTTAATAATACTGCCAAATGTGGTCACAGGAAGATGAAGCTGCTTGGAGATAGTCTTATAGCCTTTACCTTTAACATGGTCATCTATAATCTTCTTTCTGAGTTCCTCAGACAGCTCTCTCCTTTGCTTTCTCTGGTCCATGTTCAGTGTGGTGCACACAATGATACCAAACAACACAGTAGCACGTTTCTTCCCTTTAAATATGCTGAATGGCCGATGAAAAGCTTGAAGGCACCTGTGATACTAATTAAGGTTAAACAATTTGAAATATGACTATAATACAAGGATAAATAGTTTCTTTAGCTGTACCAACAAATCTGTCCATACTATTTTAGCATATCTTTGTAAAATAAACCAGAAATGTTTTTTGCAGTTTTATTGGTTTACTCTATCACATACTAAAGGCATGTAGGTATACATTAGACAACTGCTTTTAATTGAATCACTTTTCAGGATAAATTGAGCATTGTTTCAATGAGCTGTAAGGGTACCAACAAATTGTCCACATCTGTAAATTGTGTCTCATATTGGTTAAAAATGGGACACAGCATTTTATTTTTCAGTACAAGACAGGTGACAACTCTACAAAACCCATTCCCTAGAACAAGCAGTGAGGCAGTCAGAGAAAAAAAACCTAGGAACAAACCATAGTGTCAGTTTTTTCTAGTATTACACTTTACAACAATAAAGTTTTTTTTTGTATGATTTATTTATTTGTTAAAATTAGTTTTCAGTTTGCAGTTTATTCAATTTGTCAGCTTTTTCCAAGTACTGAATTTGTGAAAGGGCAATTCTAATGGAATTTTCAACAAAAGCGGAGCTTTGAAGAAATAATGATATCAAGTAGGCTGTATTGTGATGATGATCAATAGCAACTAGCGCTGTGAAAAGTAACGCAGTAATCGCTGCTATCAATTTCAAATACTTAACGTGTTAAAATTAATGCGGTTAACGAGAATAACAATGTCATCGCACAGTGCATTATAGGGCAACCATATAAACTATATAAATGATTGCAAGGGACACTTTTTTATACTGTTGTAATTCATGACCTACTACATTGTTATATCTGAAATATATATCATTTGTGATTATTCTACGTTAATTTGGTGATTGATTTTCCATATAAATATGCATTATAGCAAGCTGTAATCTTGAAAGAAAGTCATTAATCACGATTAATTAATTGCAAATTGTGTAATGTATTAGTTATTCTTTTTTAATCAATTGACAGCCCTGACAGCAACTGATATGAAAACACCCCCCCCCCCCCCCTTTACCTTGGAAAAGTTAAGAAACCCTAGTGTAATACAATACATAAATAAAGGTTACAGTTAATTTGTTTTTACTCCATTTCCATTGTCGTATTTTTTTAGCTGGAAAACCATATAACTGCAACTTCTGTGGGAAAAGCTATAAACAGCGTTCATCATTGGAGGAGCACAAGGATCGCTGTCATAACTATGTGGAAACCATCGACACAAACATCTTGGCCACAGAGGAAGGTAACAGTTAAGGGCCATATATAATAGCATGTTATTTTTAGGGTTATAAGGTGGCAATGTATAGCATTGATGCCTCTCATCTCTGCAGTTGCTGGTTTAAGTTCCATCTCTGGCTCTGTATGTGTGGAGTTTGTGCATGTTTTCCACTATGGAAACTGGTGCCTACTGTGAGTCCAGTTTAATGTATCTCCTTGCATTGTGCCTTGTGCTTTCTAGGATTCGCTCCAGGGTTATTGTGACCCTGTACAAGATATGTAATAATGAGTGTTGAAAGGATTGTTATATTGCTGGTAAATTTCATTGTGAATGAATGCGTATACACACAAATGAAAAATTGTATGTGTATAAAAACTTTGGATTTATAAAACCTGGCATATGCACATATGTACACAATTTCCCTTTAATAAATCATAACTATCTTAGAAATTTTCATATGTTCACAAGCTTGAGTTCCTGCCTAGTTTCCCCAGGAATCTCATTTATCAAAGTTGCGTATGTACAAAAGGAGGCCTGAAATGCAACTTTTCACAATAAAACCTGGGATTTATCAAACAAAAATTGATGGGAAAAAATATATATTTTTGAAAACTCAGGGGCAGGTGTACGAAACATTTTGGTCAAATTGGGAAAAGATGACACTCATTGTAAAGCAGGGAACTGCAGATTAATCAGCTAAGTACCATAAACATGCAAGTACCTCATATAACCAATGCTGAGCTTTGACTTGACAAACATTAAATCTAATTATGTTAAGTGCGATTAATTGATTTTTCAGTTTACTTGCATAAGCCAAAGACTATGTATTTGCCTTGAAGACTTTACAGACAACCCTTCTGCATAGCAACATTTCCCCATAGTTTTGGTATATCACTGGAAATGTTTCAGGATTTTTTGAGAGTTTTGTGAAAGCCACAGATGTCATGTGAAGACCAGGATATGGCAAACAAAAAGTTTAGTAACTCATAAATGCACAAAATTTCTGTGCAGTGCTGATGGACGGCAAATATGTTTACAGCAGCCTCTTATGTGGTATCTTGCAGTGATCACAGTGATCTTTGTATCATGCATTTCTTGTACCTTTTAGCTTCGCTTTGCCTCGCTCATTGAGGGACCAAAAAATTTGGTGCAGTTTTTCCAGATGGTGGGGGGCTTGCACCTTTAACCCCCACAATGTGGAAAGATCAACTGTAATTTGTTGTCTTCATATTTCTTTTCAACTCATCCCATGAATTGAAAAGGTCTCTCATTTTCACTAGTTACACTAAGTGAGAATTAGGCATCAAACATTCACATCATGGATCCACGTATAGCCTATAGTCAGAAAAATGCTTTATGGCATAATGAATTTTTTAACTACATAATGGAAGGATTAGAAGGGAATGAGTTTTCAAGACGCACTAATTATTATTTTTCACTTATTAGTTTACTCTTTGCACTATGTGTAATGTTTTTGCCCTTTGTCTGTTTCGCAGTAAATTAGCTTTCCTAATGTAATCAGTGTACCTGAGTGCCCTGACATTGTGACACAATTGCTCTAAGACCACACGGGTAGCCTGGCTTCCAACATAAATTACAAGTAGAAATTAATTAGCATATGTATCAGTGTAAATTCATTTTATTTTCAATTAAACATTTAACCTATCTTGCTGATTGAACCACAGCACTGATCATTTTACAGAATTTGCTTTCAACAACATATACATCAATTTTTCCTTTGCAACCAGGATAACCAGCCCACAGGCGCTCATTAACACAGAGAGCTTATTCATGAATATGCTTTGATTACGTGTTTTTGGACCCTGTCTGGACACCAGGCTTCACTAGGAGTCTATGGCTTTGTCCCAATCCAGGGACATGGTGAGCATAGCCTTTGTAGCACAATGAATCTCTGTATATGTTGGGCAGTGAAGGACCCATCGGATGGATCCTTCGTAGCCAGGGAAAGGAAGGACATATTTCTAGCCGCATTTGAAGGAGATTTTCAAAACAGCCTTGTTGTGCCACTGTGATACATTCGGTGGGACTCAACTGAAGAGAGTTTCATGCATAGTTTTTGCTTAGGCAATTCGTATTGAACACATAGACTTGCAGTCAGATATTTTAGATCTGCCTGGATTCTCTGCACAAGACAGGATTAACTACCATTAAGATTAATGATCATGACTTTCACATGGTGTCACCAGTATTGGCTTGCAGTATTCTTTCATTCTGTTGCATGCGAGTGCGGAGAAGCATTTTGTTGAAACCCAAAGTAGCACTTTATCATTTCATATGTCATCTTTAGCCATTGGCATTTGTAAATATTGTAAAGTCGTGAGTTTCGAGTTTGATTGTTTGTTTAATTTTCAGTTTCTATAATTTTTATTATACTAGTTTGGTAGTTAGTTTGCTAACTCAGTTGTGTGTGTGTTAAAGCTGAAATAGAGGCTTTGAAAATGGCAGACACTGCAGCTAATGTTGACTTCATTCTAAAGATGTCCTTTGATGAAGTAGAGCAGAGTTTACACAGAAGTAGCTGACGTACTAAAAAAAGAAAAAAAGGTGTTTTTTCTTTGGTCATATGGCCAACTGTCCACAGCGTGCTTCCCCCATTTTAAAAATCATCATCTGCCACTGCATTGTGATAATGTTCAAAAGTCAAAAGTGGGTTTATCAAATGCACAGCAGTACAGAATACAGAAGTAGATGCCTCTGCTTCTCACTGTTCAAAACTCCTCTTCTTGATTTTCATTTGCATCAATAATTATGATTTGTGAGCGGCAACTGGGCAGGATCTCACGTTGGTGTATGTACACAAATTTACAAGACAGTTCTAATTTATCAAAGGGAAATTGCATTCATATGCGCATACACCAGGTGTGATAAATCCATTTTTTTGTTATTTTTTTTTTATGATGAAATTTGATGAAGTTAAAGATAAATTAAACTCTATATCTGCATATGTCAGGCTGCTCCTAAAAATGGAATGTTATACTTTAGCAGACATAGCAGTGATCTGCATGCCTAAATATTGATCTATTTGAATTGGTAAATATGGGAAATACTTCTATGAGGAACAATTGATTCTTGTAACTGTGTTCCAATTTTGGCTAATTTGAATCTTGGACACTTTGTCCAACTTACCTCTCTTTTACTGCATGTTCTTAACACAGTGAAAGGTGGCACAGATAAGACATCTTTGTTAGAAGCTGTTTCCTTGGTGCCTTTCAACCAACCACCAGTAACTGAACGACTGCCAAGCACTGTAGGGAAAAGGAAAAGCACTGTACCACAGAAGTTTGTAGGTAAGTGCAGTAGTACTTGGAAATGGAAGCGTACACTGAGTACAAAATTACTAAATGAAGGTTCTTAATGAGCGTGTGAATTAGCATCAGTTTGAAATAAAATCTAATTGTTTCATCTATGTTTAATTTGTGTGTATTCAGTCAATATTTTAAAGAACTTGGGTAGGATTGGGCTGCAGACACTGCAAATCTGTTTTTTGCATTGTGGTTTGTTGCATTGCTGTTGATGTCATTGAAAGCAAAATGACTCAGCCCACACAATGCCTTATATGAATGTCACTGTAATATTTCAATGGTGCTTCCCAGCATTATATGCCCAGTAAAATGCCTATGCCCATTAAGTATGTTAGAATAATGTTGGCGAAAAACTGATACCATTTCCAATTGACATCTTCTTCATAATGCATTATAAATGCTTAACTGATTACTAAGATGTTCTCTCTGGTGATTTTGATTGATTGTTTAAACTGATTGCAGCATTTAATAATTATTAATATTAATAATTACTTTTCTTATTGTACAATCTGTTTTAATATCCATTTACTTTTGTCATGAATATAGTTGTAGCTGCTGGCATAGCATTAATAGTCAACATAACTAACTAACTTATGAACTCATTGTCTTTGCAAGCTCTCTCAGTTAGGGATTTAACCTATGGTGTGTTTGTATTCTCCTCAGATGAAAAGCTGGCGTACTACAGCTACCAAGCCAGCCTTAAATATGAGAAGGAGGCAGAGCTACTGCAAGCTCACATAATGGACCATGCTATTAGCAATGCTATCTCTTATTTGGGCACCAATGCATTAAGGCCTCTTGTCCATCACCCAACACTTTCAGTGACAGACATCGTGCCTATAGTCAACCCTCTCTATACACATATGTATCAACTAGGGCCCCAAATGGAGCAGGCTAACAGGCAGACTGTTTTACCTCAACCATCCATTCAATTAGATTCCCCTTCCTCCATCAACAGCTCTTTGTCCCTCATTCGGCCTAAGAATAGTCTGACTAACCAGGAGGAGTCCCCCTGTAACAGTGGCACTGAATCTGCTACCTTCAATTTCAACAGTCTACAGGATAGGCCTGGCAGCTCCTCTAATCATGTTCCCTACCTCAGGTATAGCATGACGGTTGGTAAAGAAGAGGTGCAGGAGGTGGGGCCAGGTTGCATGGATGCCTCTTTTGACCATTGTATCACCAGAAATGTTTACCGCGTCTTTAGCAGGGAAGGCAAGGAGATGAGAACCTTTAAGTGTGAGCATTGCCACGTGCTCTTTCTTGACCATGTCATGTACACTATCCACATGGGCTGCCATGGATACCGAAACCCTTTGGAGTGCAACATATGTGGTCGCTGCAGCCAAGATCGCTATGAGTTTTTCTCGCACATTGTCCGTGGAGAGCATATCTTTCACTAGAGCGGTGAATTTCCATGTACTGTTTGAGAAGTGTTCCTGGAGGACATCTGCATATTTTCAGCCTCCAAGTAAATGCTGCCTATGAGGACATACTGTATGTGCATTTATAGCAATTCTTATTAAGCCCATTTAAATCTACTGTAACAAAGATGACACCTTTCGGAATCAAAGATTCTGTTTTATTGGAATGCATAGAATAATCAATTGTGTGAAGATTTAAATGTCATGACTACCATTCATTTGTGGGTGGTTATTAGTCTAATGCTTCTTTCTCTAGAATGGTATACCGTTGAGCATTTGAACACTTTCATAGAACATCCACATAAATGGTTTTAAGATACCCTAAATTTGCATATATTGACGATGATAAAAAGTCATGTCATTTGTCACTTTAACTGAGACTTTGCACTAGTAAGTTGGAGCCAAACATGGCTACCTCCATTTTCATAGGCTTTGGTTTTTGAGCAAGCCTCAATATTTAAGTTTTACATGTCTTTTTATCATTTAAATGTATGGTAATTATTTATAAAACCACTATACTATATAAAACAACTCAGTGGTCTAATGTCTAAGTTGTATGACAAATGTTTCTAGATTTTATTTATTCTTCTTATTATTTTGTTAAGAAAGAATCAGAATTATACTCCCATCCTATGTGTAAGGAATTTGCATGTTCTCTCTGTATCATGTGTGTTTCTTACTGCAGACAAAAGACATGCAATAGGGTGAACTGGTATCGCAAAATTGCCCATAGCATTGCTTGTGTGTGTGTGCCCTGTGATGGACTGACATCCTATCCACAATTTACCCGCAGCCTCGCACTGGTGCTACTTGGGATAGACTGCAGGCTCCAATGACCCCGGTCTACATAAGCATTTGGAATGTGTGAGGTTTGGAATTAGGCTTTATAACTGTTACCAAAAGACAGCTGGCACTCTCTATATTTACTTTTCTGATACTTTGTGTGAACAATCTGTGAAACATGCAATAGCTTCTATTTTTATCACCTTGTGTGTATGTAAGTAAGGTTTACTTAATCGTTGAAATTGAAAACTTGTCTTGCCGCACATTTTTGGTTCTGGGGCTTATAGTAGTGCCTTATAATTATGCTATTGTATATTGGCCACAATTCTTTAGACTATATTATATAATTATAATTTCGTTTTCAATAGTTGTTCAATTTTCACATTGAATGTGTATATTTTATTTACATACATTACATTCTTTTTATTTCTTGTGTTATTCATTTTTAGTCATATTTTGATACATAAATGTAAAACTATCAATCACAAAACAATTCCTTAACTGATTTTGTTTAAACATGCCAAACTGTAGTAATATATATGTCCTACTGGATTTATAGCAAGACTGATTATGTAATGTGGTTACATAATATTCATTTTTCTCTTCATATTGATTTTTTACTTAGGAAAAACTATAAAAATTCAGTAAAGTTAATTAATTGTGGGACTTTAAACATTTTGCAAGCATTGCATGGATTCTGTACTGTATAATTTACATGTTGCTAATAATCTGTGAACCTGCTGAAGTTTATTTGCTTTTCGCTGTGCTGCAGTTATGCGACTGAAGATGGAATGTACTAGTTTTCTTTAAAAAATGTACGTCCCTTTACAGTAAACCTTCTTAAAATGAATACAGTGCCAATTGCGAAACATAATGGAAAAAGTAGAAGAAAATATACTTGACCTGGAGTCTGTGGCACAAGTTGTACCTTTTACATGAATTATGTAACATGTTTTTCTTTCCAAACAATGGTAAAATGCAAAATAATGTTCTCTTTCTTTCTCAAATGAAGCAATTTCATGATCATTTCTGATTAACTTTATTTCTAACCAATGTCATGGTTGAATATATATGCATATCTTGAAAGAAATTAAGAGTATTTTTAAAAATCTTCTTTTTAAAATCCTGTGTTAATCCTGGTTCTGCTGGCTGAAGGCTAAACTGTGGGGCAGGCTGCTTCCAGGCTCAAAATTTCTAAGACAGCAGCACACAAGAATAAGGTGAAGCAGGAGACACTGGCAATAACCAAAAATGAAGCAGGTAGAGAGCAGAAGCAACTTTCTAATGCCAGAGATGACCGTCAACTTATCCAGCAGTGCCTCATAAAAGATGACCTCAAATGACCTTGACATTAAGTGGTGTGAAGTGCACTGCTAGGACAATTCAGAACAGGCTCCAAGAAGCAGAACTGAAGACCCATAAAGCAGGGAAGAAGCCCCTCTTACATATATAAAGAATTTATACACTCACCTAAAGGATTATTAGGAACACCTGTTCAATTTCTCATTAATGCAATTATCTAATCAACCAATCACATGGCAGTTGCTT